CAGGCCCGGTGATTTGTATGGTAGAAAGCTATCTATAGCCCATTTAATTTTCCTTCTGGTGACAATATTATTCACAACAGATGAGTCACATGTAGACCCCTGGATTATTCCAAGGTTATTTGGTATGTCACTATCTGGGAAATGTATATTCAGTAACAATGCCGCCGATTCTTCGCTGCTATGTGTCCACCCATTGACCTCGTCTTTTAAGTAGACTAGATTAGAGGGTTTCTTCGAGAGAATGCGCCTAAACCTTGCTGTTCCTTGACAACCCTCCACGCTTTCACAGAAGGCTTTCCAGGAGCGTGTTTTGGCTCTTTTTATTTCATTTTTATATATTTTTAGACTGACTTTGTAGATGTCCCAGTCAGTGTTAAGATTACTTCTCTTGGCCTTGTTAAACAAGTTTCTGCTTGATTTCCTAAGATCTCTTATTTCCTCGGACCACCACAATGGCTTTTTCTTTCCCCTCTGTGATTTCAGCGGGCAAGAACGGTCCAAGGCTATGTTGCAAGCTTTTGTGAAGGTTTCCACAACGTTATCTAGCGATTGAGGAGTCTCTACTTCTTCAATAGGATATAGAGGAAGTAGATTTAGTAAATTGGTTCGATATCTACTCCAGCTGGTATTACGGTAATTCCGATAAGGTTTCTCAACTGGACATTGTAGATTTATATAGAATTGAATATAACGATGGTCAGAGAATGAGTGTTCATCAAGAACTCTCCAATCCTTAATCTCAAGATCTGTGTTTTCAATAGTTAACGTAATATCTAAAACTTCTTTTCTGCCTTCAATAATAAAAGTAGGTTCTACTCCTGTATTGCATATATGAAGATTATAATCTAGAATAAAATCGAATAACGACTCACCTCTTTCATTTATGGCCGAGCTTCCCCAGATTGTGTGATGAGCATTTGCATCGGCTCCAATCACAACACCAGTCATTCTTTCTGCTGCTGTTATCACGAGCTGCTTAAGTATTTCCGGTGGTGGATTTCCTATATGGTCGTGGGCCATGTATGATGACACCACCCATACGGTTTTGCCTTCGATTTCCAAACTCACTGCAGTCTGGTCGTCATCACTAAAATTATTCAAAAGGAAACAATTAATGTACTTTTTAACTAACACACATGATCTAGGTCTACCTGAGTCTGTGTTGCTGATAAGTTTATAGTCATTTGTTCCGATTCCACAGATCCGGTTTTCCAGTATCCATGGTTCCTGAATCAGAACAACATCGGCTCCACCCTGTGCATGGTGGATTAGAAGGTTTGCTGAAGCAGTTTTAGAGTGGTGGAGATTAATTTGAAACATCTTCATCAGGTACTTGAATTTCTACCACTGTTTTGTCGGCTTCGTCATCCGAGTCCAGGAGCCCATTCTCATCGAATAGGTTGCCTAGACTGGTCACCGACCCCGCATCCGATTTGTCTTCAGACATCAGAGAGAGCGAGTCCACCTCCATTTGATCTGGCAGGTCTTCACTCTGTGTTTCCTCACAACTCTGCTGTCTTAGCATTGGTTCTTAGCTGGTTCCTCTAGCAAGGGCTGATCAGACGTAATCTTCTCCGGTTCTTCCGTGGCATCGGTACGATAGACCTTGAGATTTAGTTTCTCGAAGCCATAGAAGATTACGTATTTAGCTTCGGAGAGCGGTTTCAATGACTCCGCATTTAATACAAGGACAGCTTGTCTGGTCGGTCCAACAGGCTCCTGTAATTTTACCACCTTCCAATTTCCAGTTGGAAGGTTGGGGTTGCAGATCCTGATTATTTTCAGAATTTGTTCCGGGTCAGTTTGTTTAGTTGGAATCCAAACCCTGGCCCTAGGACGAGATGGAATATCCTTCTTGTCTACCGCTTCAAGTCTGGCTCCAGGCCAGATCTCTCCTACTTTAGAGACAGCTGCCTTGTACAAGGCAACCGATCTCGCATCCTTGCAAGCTACCAATTTTACTTGTCCTTGGTGCCAGCCCGCGTCTTCGCAGGAGGTAGCAGGTCCTGGGTTTTCTTCCAAAACTTGGAGGAAGATGTCTGCCAGCGCGGCCGACACCTATTTCCATTTGTCTTTGGGGATTCTCCCCTCCTCGGCACTCCTATCCAGGACACCTATAATGAGATTGTCCCTCGCAACCTCACTGTACGGTCGTACCAATACATTGTGACCTCTTGGTTTTTTCGTAAGAGGGGGTTCTTTCTCCTGAGACCTTTGTCTTTTAGACACTTGGTCTGGTTTGGAAACCTCTTTGGTGCTTGATTTGGCCAAGATGCTTTTGGCCCATTTAAGGGATGAAGCCTGTTGTTGACTGATTTTATCGGCCGGGATCTCACCTACGCGCTGCAGAATTCGTGTAGCCATACGGCGGTTGTTATGGGCCTTTTTAGAGGGTGGAATTCTCCTTGTGGATCTGGGTTCTGACTTGTCACTGCTTTTGACCGTGACAGAAGAGGCAACATACCGACTGGTAGATGCAGTATTTCTGCTTCCAGAAGGTATTTGCGACGAGATTTTAAGTTCATTGGAAGTGGAGTTGGAGGTACCACTTGAGTTTTGCAGTCTTCTGCTTGGGGTTGCTACCGGTCTTCCAGTAGCAGAAAGTTTTGTTTGTTTTTTATTAAAATTTAAATTTTCCATATCAATGGGTCCCAACTCAGGTCCGCTATCTCCACCCGACGTGTAGTTATCTTTTAAAAAGCCCCATGGGTCCCTTTGAATCAGTGAGGTCCATGTGAAGGTTGATGTATAGCCTTATAAGCATATACATTCAGAGCCAGGCAAATATTAAGAGGGAGCTTCGCTCAACCTCACCTACACCACCAACTAAACGGTGACGGTTATTGAGCGCTTCCTGAGGTCAGCCACGATTTTAACGGGACGGAGGCAGCCTCAGCATTAGCCTGAAAGCCATTTCTGCAGAGTTTCACCTCTACATACTGAGGTAACAGAATACTGAGACTGTCAGCCCAGGGTTCAGACAATTTATAATTCAGACAATTCAAAATCATACAATCAGTGTCAGTATAGCCAAGGTTGTTGCCGTTGAAGCCATATTGGCCGTAAAGGCCTTTGGACAGAATTTTTTGCTCCGCAATAGCCAATCCGACAAGGGAAGCCCTTAAGGACCTGAAGAATCCGTCGGTATAGCCTAGTGCATCATTACCTCTGTTGTCCCCAGATACCTCACGCCGATGAATCAGAGCAAACTCCAATTCTTAGCTAGAACAGTCTGCAATCAGAACTCTCTATTACCAGTCGACACCCACGGGGAGGGTTAGGCAGAGGATTTATGTCAACCACAACCACATTAAGTAATAACAACAATAAGAAAAAAATATATATATCCTGACAAACGAAATAAAATTTATTTACATATCATAAAAAAAACTAATATTTTTGAACCAGCATCTATTTTCACATACCTATATGTATACTTATAAATATAATTGAAGTAAGGTACATATCTAAATCAAATTTAAATAAAACATCTCTAATGCACATCAATCTCTTAAATATCAACCTGCGTTTATTATTTTATTATTAAGTTTATACCAGGTACTTACTAGCCCCGCTGAAATGACGTCACCTCGCGCGCTCCAGTTACCTAGCTGCATAAAAAAATTAAAGAAAGAGAGTTTTTGTAAACACATAAATCCGTGTCTATATCGCAAAGCAACTATTAAAAAAAAATCAAAAAAAAATAAAAGAAAATACAGATATAATAAAAATTAATGATTTTACAAAAAAAAACTTAAGCTCGAATAGATATAATTCCATATTTTGATATAATTTTTTTTTTTTATAATTTATAAAATAACAGCGAATTTTACATTCTGCGACCTCATTGTATTCTCAATAGAACTGATACTGAAATACCTGCTAACGCCGCTACTTATACAGTTGGTTCTTTTATCCTTTTGTCATTCGTTATAATAGCTGTCTGCTTGCGGTACTGAGAAATTCCTTACTGTACTCCCTATTCTAGGCCAATTTTCACAATGTTTTTACTGTTCACAATTTAGAATTCTAAGTAGTCAAGTGTTAAATACTTTATTTAAACAAAACTGCTACTTTTGCATTAATTTTTATATTCCAATTTTTACAGAATTTTCTTTCTTGTTCACAATATTGAATTCTACGTAGTCACTGTTAAAGACTTTATTTAAACAAAACTGCTATTTTTGCAGTAACTTTTATATTCTAATTTTAACAGAATTTTCTTTCTTGTTCAAAATATTGAATTCTACGTAGTCAATGTTAAAGACTTTATTTAAACAAAACTGCTACTTTTGCAGTAATTTTATATTCCAATTTTCACAGAACTTTCTTTCTTGTTTACAATATTGAATATCAAAAAAAAAACTGATCTAATTATATCAGTATTCTTTCAATTAACATGTTTAGTTTTCACAAAAAAAAAAAAAACTTTTCGCCAAAATTCTTGTTAGTCTTTTAAAAACAACCTTTCACCATCAAAATTCACAAAACTGGTCCCTTTTTCAGCTCCGCTTCCCAATTTTATACCACCGCTAATACTTGTAACTGGTCTTTTTTAAACTTTTTCTCCAGTTACCAATATTGACGGGTTAGCAGAATCTTCCGTTCTCCTAACGTTTTGTTTGTTTTGGTCTTTTTCTACATTCCGAATATTTAAATCTAAAACTCCTAATTTACATGTTCTGCTCTATTGGCAGCACTAAAAATTGCAAGTTCGGAAAGTTTACGAGCTTTCGCCGCGATCTTAAAAATCAAAACAAATGACAATAAGAGAAGCAAAAGCTCTCACTTATTTTTCTTGACATGAGCGCGCAATGCATATGATAATTTCTATTTTCTATTACAAGTAATTAAAGTGAAACCAAATAAAAATAAAAGAATCCACTCATATCTGGCTACACGCACAACCACACAACCACAGGGAACCAGCCGTATCTCATACACACAAATTGCTCTTGGACAGCGTGGGACAACCCAGGTAAAATCTCGAACAAAATTTTTTTCTTTTCCTTTACTAAACTACATGTTTCCTTCATCTAGGCCTACATAACAGTTTCCTTGCGACGAACATCCAATGATTTTGTGCAACAGGCTGAATCCATAAGGTAGTACACATGCAACTTTGCCAAGTGCAAGATGATGTACTGTTATTAAATAAGTTTACTTTGCAAGCGCACTTGCCTGATTCACGAGAATATATTTCTTGCGTATCTGAACAGATGTAGATATCATTTTTTGAAGCCACACATTGTGACAACTGTATTTCTGAAATCGGAAAGTATCCATTCCTATGAGTATTAAATGCCATCATAGACGTGCATGGTTGAACTGTCACGTATTCTCCGTTAATGATCCCTGGAACGGGAATAACCACGAATAAATCAAAGGACTCATCATTGATTAGTGGTAGAGTTATTTGAAACAACATTTTAGTATCAAAGAAACCGCTGCTGACTGTCATAAGAGAATATAGTTCAGAAATGTTGCTCATGTTAACCGGCAACTACATTGTTGACCTGAGATGTTCCCTCATTGTGGTAACCTCATTCATGAGTTGCTTTGGGGTCAGGAGAAGTGGGAAATTGCTGATTCGTGAAATTGAATACTTGTTGTTACACTTAGTAGTTGAGTTGAAATCGCAGTGAAAAGTTGGTGGAGTTTTAAATTAGAAATTTCCTTGTCCTCTTCTATCATATTTGCCTTTACATCGTTCAATCGCTCGACTGTTAATTTAAAGGTTGTTTGATAATCCTGATGATTTCGTTTCATGATATTTAGAGTAGAATCTAAAGTCGAAGTTTGGTTTTTTAGAAGGTTAAGCAAATGTTTGTCGTCATTTTTTAATTGTTGAATCGTTTGCGCCATATTTTTAGCGTATTCTGAGTCCAGAACGCCGAATAATGCATTCGCGATGTTATCCACTAAATCAATTGCGCTTCTCTTCTTTCTTTTGTTAATCTGCATTATGTTTGCAGATAACAATTCATTTCTTGCTGCCTTGAAATGTTCAACTAACACCC